GCTCTCAAAGGTCAACGTGAACCTGCCACTCCTGGACGTGATCAAGAATATGCCCTCGTACGTGAAGTTCTTCAAAGACTTAGTGACGAAGAAGCGGAAATTTGGAGACGGGGAGAAGGTAGTAGTTTACGAAGCTGCAAGTGCTATGCAGCATGACCTTCCGAAGAAAGAACGAGATCCCGGGGGCTTCGTGATTCAAATAGCCCTCGGAAACGAAAAGGAAGCTTCAGGGATGCTGGACCTTGGAGCTGGGATCAATCTCATGCCGTTCTCTATCTTTCAGCGGCTGGGCTTAGGAGACTTGAGGCCCACCCACATGCGCCTTCAGCTCGCAGACCGTTCTATCAGATACCCCAAAGGGGTAGTGGAAGATGTCTTAGTTCGTGTTGGGAAACTTATTGTCCTGGTGGACTTTGTTGTCCTAGATGTGGGGGACGTACAGGAGAACGGGAAGGACCACACAATCCTTCTGGGCAGACTATTCATGGCCACCACCAACACCCTCATCGATGTGAAGAACGGGACTTTGAATATGACGGTCTTGGGCGAGTCTGTTTCTATTTCAGTTCGAGAAGCAATATCCTCCTCCTCAGTGAACTTTGTGGAGGAGTGTGCCTTTGTTGATGTGAGTGACCCGTTCGTGGAAGAGATGACTATACGAGACTTGAAGGAGAGGTCAATGCCCGACCTCGACGATGAAAAAGAGCCAATCGTTGAGCTTTTCGCAGCTGACGAGCCACACACACCTACTCCACCCGCATTAGAGCTTAAGGAATTGCCCCGCCATCTCAAGTACGTCTTCCTTGATGACGAGAAGCAAAAGCCGGTCATCATCTTTGCCGAGCTTAACAGGGATGAGGAGAATGAGCTAATTGAGGTGCTAAAAAAGAATCAGAAGGCCATTGGGTGGAGCCTCGGAGACATAAAAGGCATCAGCCCCTCCACATGCATGCACCGGATCATCTTAGAAGAAGGTGCTAAGCCATTTTGGGATAGCCAGCGGCGGCTCAACCCGAATATGATGGAAGTAGTGAAGAGGTGCTCAAGCTCTATTCAGAAAGGCTTATTTACCCAGTGGCAGACAGCGAGTGGGTCAGCCCGATCCATGTGGTGCCCAAGAAGGGGGATATCACGGTCATAGAAAATGAGAAGAAGGAGATGGTCTCCACCCGAATCACTACCGGGCGGAGAATGTGTATAGATTACCGCCGCCTCAATGTTGTGACCAAGAAAGACCACTTCCCATTGCCGTTCATTGATCAGATTCTTGACCGTCTCTCGGGCCATCAGTTTTATTGCTTCCTGGATGGACTCTCCGGCTACTACCAAGTAGCCATAACACCCGAGGACCAACCGAAGACTACCTTCACTTGCCCATTCGGCACATTTTCCTTCAGACGGATGCCATTCGGCCTATGCAATGCACCTGGGACCTTCTAGAGGTGCATGTTCTCCATCTTCTCAAATATGCTCGAGGACTGCCTCCAAGTATTTATGGATGACTTCTCTATTTTCGGTACTTCATTTTCTGATTGTCTCCATAATTTATCTCGTGTGCTTGAGAGGTGTATTGAGTCTAACTTGACCTTGAGTTGGGAGAAGAGTCATTTTATGGTGAATAGTGGGGTTATGTTAGGACATGTGGTGTCTAATCGTGGCATTGAGGTTGATAAAGCAAAAATTAACGTGATTGAAAAATTACCCCCTCCTGTGAACGTGAAAGGGGTTAGAAGTTTTTTGGGTCATGCTGGCTTCTATAGGAGGTTTATTAAAGATTTTTTGAAAATAAGCCAGCCTTTGTGTCACTTGCTTGCTAATGATGTGCCTTTTGTGTTTGATGATGCATGTGTAGATGCTTTTAGTAAATTGAAAAATAAGCTTGTGACGGCACCTATTGTGATTGCTCCTGATTGGTCGTTGCCTTTTGAGATTATGTGTGATGCTTCGAACCTTGCTGTTGGGGCCGTGTTGGGTCAACGAGTTGATAAGTTGCTTCGTGTAATTTATTATGCTAGTTTGACTCTTAATGGCGCCCAATTAAATTATACCACCACTGAGAAAGAGCTTTTGGCTGTTATTTTTTCTTTAGAAAAGTTTAGGTCTTACATTCTAGGATCTAAAGTGATTGTTCATTCAGATCATGCGGCTCTTAGGTATCTCTTGAGTAAGACTCAATCGAAACCTAGACTCATTCGGTGGATTCTATTGTTGCAAGAGTTTGATGTAGAAATTCGCGATAGGAAAGGTTGTGAAAATGTGGTTGCTGATCATCTTTCTCGCATTGTCCCTACTGAGCATTCACCTACTTTGCATGAACATTTTGACATAAATGATAGCTTCCCATATGAGCATGTGAGTGAAGTAGTTAGTGTCCCTTGGTATGCAGACATTGTAAATTATTTATTAGATGGAGTCCTGTTGTCTAACCTCTCTTCCCAAAAGAGAAAGCATTTTGTGCTGATGTGCAGGAGTTATTTTTGGGACGACCCACTTCTTTTCAAGGTGGGAAAGGATGAGATACTTCGGAGGTGTGTGCCCGAAGAAGAGCAAATGGATGTCCTTGCCTTTTGCCACGAGCTTCATTGTGGAGGGCATGTTGGAAGTCGAAAGACCGCATTTAAGGTTCTCCAATCAGGTTTATTTTGGCCATCTCTCTTTAAGGATGCTCACAACTTTTGCAAGTCTTGTGACCAATGTCAAAGAATTGGAAATATAGGCCCAAGGAATGAGATGCCCCTTGTGAATAATTTGCAAGTGGAAATTTTTTATGTGTGGGGCATTGATTTCATGGGCCCGTTTCCCAAATCTTTTGGCTTTGAATATATTCTCCTTGCTGTAGATTACGTGTCCAAGTGGGTTGAGGCTATCCCCACAAGGACGTGTGATGCTAATGTGGTCATCAAGTTTTTGCGAGGTAACATATTGAGCAGGTTTGGATTTCCACGGACCATTGTGAGTGACGGAGGCAAACATTTTTGCAACCGCATTTTTGACAAGCTGATGAAGAAGTATGGCATTTCACATAAGGTGGCCACCCCATATCATCCACAGACGTCGGGCCAAGCAGAGACGAGCAACAAGCAAATCAAGACCATCCTAGAGAAGACGGTGAACTCATCCAGGAAAGATTGGTCCAGTCGTCTTGATGATGCACTCTGGGCCCAACGCACAGCTTACAAGGGAGTCTTGGGGATGAGTCCATTCCGCCTAGTCTATGGAAAGGCGTGCCACCTTCTGGTCGAGATCGAGCACAAGGCGTTCTGGGCAATTAAAAAGATGAACTTTGACCTTGATGTGGCCGGAAAGGAGCGGCTATTGCAACTCTCAGAGCTAGAAGAGTGGAGGAATGAGGCCTACGAGAACTCCAAGATTTACAAGGAAAAGACAAAGAGGCTTCATGATGCTACCCTTGTCCAAAAAAATCTCGTACCCGGAATGAAGGTTCTTCTCTTTAATTCCCGACTCCGTCTTTTTCTCGGAAAGCTTAAGTCCCGTTGGAGTGGACCCTATATTACTGATGAAGTGCTATCATTTGGAGCTGTCCGACTCCGAAACCCAGCAAATGGCGAGTTGTTTGTAGTGAACGGGCAAAGAGTCAAGCCTTATTTTGAAGGAGAACTCGAAAAGCATCATGTCGAGACTATCAGTCTCGACGACCCGTATCCTTGATTCGGAATTGTGCCGAGCTCCCGGCTTTAAACTGAGCATTTTTGTACTTTTTGTATATATTTATATTTATTTATATTTCTATTTATATATATATATATATATATTTATAAAAAAAAAAAAATAAAATTGTCGCCGCGGGCCGCGGGGCTTTTCTTAGCCGCGGCCGCGACGACCATTATTTGATGAAGCCGAGTTTGATTTCTGCAGGAAAAAATTCGCGGCCATGGGGCAACCTCGCAACCGCGGAGTCGGGTCGCGGCCGCGGCGATGTAATGCTCGCCAGCCCCTCATTTCTGCATATGAAATCTCGCGGCCGCGGGGGGAGGTCGCGGCCGTGGCGAGCCTGATAGCGCGTTTTTAAGCCTATTTTTTTTTAGATGAACGAACAAATCCCCCAATCTTCTCATTCACTACCGCGACCGTTCCTCCCCACTGCACCTCACCGGCAACCAACCGACGACCGCCACCGGTCATCCAACTTCCGGCGACGCCTCTCCGACATCTCACGACCTCCGGCAACCCTCCCTCGTCTTCAACTTCTGCAGTCCACGCGCGGCACCTCATCTCCGAACCCTAGCCGTGAAATCACCTCACCTCCGACCAACCGACCGTCCAACCTGCTCCGACGGTGTCCTCCGACCACGACGAAAACGACATTCCGGCTTCAACACTTCCGTTCACCTCAGTCACAAGCCCACCGCAAAACCCTAGTCCGTGGCACTTCATCCGTTTCGGGCCCGAATTAGCACGACAAGGTACCGATAGCTTACATTTCTTGAAGTGAGTTGATTGTTGAGGCGTGAGGAGGCAAACTCCGGGATCGAGCCGTTTCAAATTATTCACAAGCCTTTAGTTCAAAATACCGCACACCACGTGTTCGACATATTGCCCGATAGACCGTTCAAATGGGCAAGAATCCGTTTCGTCCCACCACGAAGAAAACCGCACAAGAACCGGCTAAGAAGCGCAAAACGGGTGAATTCTCCTCTCGAGATGCCCCTCCGGACGGTGACCGTGATGACCTTTCGGACCAATACGGCGCCCCGTTCCCGATTTATTCTAGGAAGGAGGGCGAGATTTATGCCCGTCTCTCGCAAAAAGAGGTAGTGAGACCGAAGGCGGTGGATTGGGACCTCTTGAACGACTCGGGTATTCTAGAGGACGTGATGAAGTACCTCAAGGTCCTAAACCTAACCGACTACGCCAAAATAGAGGAGAGGTCGTACCGAACCCTCATGCTTGAGTTTTTCAACTCATTCGTTCTCGCCGATGGGAACGAATACTTCACTTGTCGGCTCAAAGGGAAGGATCTCAAAGTGGATAATGACGTAATGAAGAAGGTTTGCGGCTTCACGTTCTCCGGTACGCGAAGCAAAGCCATCGACTTTGACGCCAAGACAAGTTGGGCCGAGCTCTCCCCGCACACGACTTGGGATTCCGCCGGCATGTCCAACGGGTTTATCGAAGACCTGGCCACTGCCATTGTGCATCGGTTCATCTGCTACAACATTACCGGGTACGAACCCAACGGACCCAGCTCAGATTCAAATGATAAGTGACGACCTCAGGAGAGGCACGGTAGACCTCACCCAAGCTCGGGGGCCTGTATGTTGATATCCGAGTCTGGCTCCTATGAAAATAACGGTCTGAGAGACCGGGAGTCCGCGGTGACTGACCGGACTGATGAAGCTGGTCACCGAATTTATTTGTAGGAGCCAAGCTGAGTAAAAGTCAAAGTCAACGGGAATGGCGGTCAAAATCGGTCCCGAGGTTGGCACCTCGCTTCCCCACTTAGGAGGTCGACACCTCGACCCCCACTGTTGCGAGGGCGGTCTGGGTCAGTGCCGAAGTGGAGAAGGGACCGCGGAGGCCGGAGTAGGAGCTGGTGTGCAGCCTGATTCGGGATCTTATCAGGCCGGCTCTTTATAAGAGCCAACGGTCTTGAAGGCAATAAAATAAGGCCACTTGCCAACCAATGATTGTTGATGGGACACCCCAAACTAGTCTGCAGGTCTAGGACATCTAGCCCGGCCTAGGAGAATGTCCGCATTAAATGCAGCCCACACCAGCATTAAATTCGTTGCAGGTAATGATTGGAAGACCCAGAAATCACTCCCAATCAGTCAGAGAAACGCCGGCCTGTCTTGCCAAACTACTGTACGACAAGACCGGTGAACAGTACCTGAACAGTACCACATTAAAGAGCACTATAAATAGCAACCCCCTCATTTATTTTTGGATTGTTGAATCCCAACTGTCTTAGCCTTCTCAATATTTTCTCTCTCTCCAAACTTGTAATAAACTCGTGTAAGTATATCGCAAGTGCCGACCTCGTACGAGAGGCCGACCTCGTGATCCGCCAATAAAATTGTAATTAAACCATATTTCTTTGTCTTTTCTTCACTACCTTTATATTATTTACCTTTTTAATCGTTAACCGGAAATGTCCGTCAACACTCTGCTCTAATGTTTCAAAGAATAGAACATTATGATCAGATGAGCTGCGAAAATAATTAGATACCTTGGTCTCTGGAAATTGCATTTGCCACCCAATGGAAACATAAATTTTATCCAACCTCTCATCCACATAGCCCTCTTCTGCCCTGTTATTTCCCCATGTAAAAAAAGAGCCACTTTGATTCAGTTATTGCATCCCCATCTGGTGAATAAACTCTTTAAAACCACAGAAAGATCTCTCAATTCTTAACCGACCTCCTCTCTTTTCTTCATTACTGCATAAGTCGTTCCAATCCCCAGCAATGGCCCAAACATCACCCCACTTCCTCTTGGCTGATATCAGGAAGTTCCATTGTTCTGCTCTCTCCTTTTTATACTCATATATACTAGAATCAGCCACATCCACTCTATGTCTTCATGCCCTTTCACTTCAACTTGAATGCAAAAATCATTACCCATTACCTGCCTGATTTCAGTATTTACATCCCACATAAGTAATAAGCCTACTTTTGTCCCCTGAGGTTGAATAAAAAACCATCTATCATCAACCCCTAGCTTTCTACACACAGTCTTAGTAAATTCTACAGACTTTTTGGTTTCTGAAAGAAAAATCAAATTCGGGTGGTGGACTCTTCTGGAGTCCTTGATTTGGGAAACTGTACAGAGCCCACTCAGCCCTCTACAGTTCCACACCATAGCTTTCATTGGTCACCTCGGGGCCACTTTAGGCTGGCCTTCTCCACCTCTCCATAAGATGATTTGATTCTCTTTTCTGATTTTTCCTCCCCCCCACTGTCTTGCTCAAGGTTCTGCAAACTATACCCCTCATCTCTATCTCTTTTCCCCCCAATAGCAGTATGAGTATAAGTTGCAGCTTCATGAGTTCTGAGCAGCCTGCCTACTCTAGCAGAAGATCTTCTCCAAGTCTTCCTCACAAGACTTCCCTGCTCAGCTTCATCAACATCCTTTTGACTCACAGAGTAGGCTCCATCTGTTATTGCAAGAATGTTCTGAACCTCCATATAACCATCTGTTTCCTCTCCCTTATCCCCTATCTTCTCACCAGAAACCTGAGATACAACTAGATCCATCAATTTAGGAGACCCTCCTTCTTCTGGTATTCCCACTAATGGAGCATCCCTTCCTTCTCTAACATTTAATAAATTGATAGGATGAGGAAGTCTTGCAGTGCTAGTAGTTGCATTTGATTCCTTGTTAGATGTTGGTAGAGGCCCATCTTCTCTATCCTTTTGCTCTGATTCACTATGATAAGAGTATCTGCTCCCATATATATTATCCCCAACTTTAATCCACTCCCCATACTGACCCTCCTGTAAGTTATGGTTCCCAATATCCCTCAGTCTCAGGCTACAATTTCTGTCCAAATGCCCAATGTGCCCACAATAATAACATAAGTTCACTAGTTTTTCATATCGGAAATAAACCATGATCCTCTGGTTATCCAACTTGACAAATGTGCATCTTGGTATAGGCTCTTTAATATTTATTGATGCTAGAAGTTTGATGTAGCTGCCAGCTTCCCCTCCAACTTTGCATAATGAGACGTTCTTGACACCAGCAAAGACACCTCCAATCTTCAAACCCACATAATTGCTCATCCAAATGAAAGGGATATTTTTGACATATACCCATAGATTTATGAAGTCAAAACAGTGTGTGTAATGCACATACCCGGAATCCATTCATGGAGGATTAGGTATTGGTTTCGAAGATCCAGTTGTGACCTGCTCCAACTTTCTTCTTGTCCTCCCCTGAGCTGAAAATGAATTGAAAGAAATTTGATTCCAATTCTCGTACCTCCATTCTCTAATTAATCCTCCAAATGGAACTCATGGTCCGCTTAATCCCTAGTAGTGTAGCTCGTCTGTCTCCAATGACCTTCCGAAAGAGACTCCGACCACACTCCTCCTCACTAGATACAATATCCTTCTTTTGGATGTCGATGTCCCCCGATTCTTTCTCTGATACCGAGAATTTTTGGAAGATGCGCGCTACTTCATCTCCTTCTTCTCCCACTTCCGCCATTTCAAAAACATTCAATGTGACCTCTCCTCAATACAAGAACCGAAAACTCACTCTCCCTCTCTCAGATAGGAACAACAAACAAACGATTGATCTCCTTCACCAAAGGAATAATGGCTCCCACAGAGAGAATTTTTACCCTACTCTCATGCGAGAGAATTAAAACAATCCTTTTCTACGTTATATTGTTTGTTTTATATGTTTTATGCTATTATAAATTTTACTATATAATTTTATGAATTTACTATATTTTTTCTATCAATGTATTTATAAAAATTGTTAAAAATGTGTTGATAAATTGTGTTTCTTATATAGTTTTTTTCTCTATAAAACTACCACAATTTGAATATATTGTGCAAATTATATCTAATATTATATGAGAAAACAAAAATCTATAAAACTACCAAAAATTTGAATATATTGTGCAAATTATATCTAATAATCGCCTAAACTAGATATAAAATGTTATAAGAATATCCATACAATATCTCAAAATAATTTATGGATTGAAAGTGAATTATATCTACAAAATATTGTTAATAAATTCAAATAACATGATATTTTTATGATATTATTAGAAACTATTTATTTTTTATTTGTATAAAATTTGCAACTCAATATAAACTTTTAAACATTTTTTTTTCTCATGTGATGTAAGTCATTTTTTTTTCAATATTTTTTTTTGATTTTTTATAGACGTGAATTATCTATCTATAATTAGTTTATCACATATCTTCATTTAATACAAAATAAAACTAAGGTCGAACTTATCTAGTTTGAAAATTACTACAAAATGGGTTTTGAAAATGATTTTTTCGGTGTAAATCTTATGAATTGTAGGTTTAATGGTGATCATTATGAAATGTGTTTACAAATTTAGTCCACCATATTACACCAATTTTCAAAAAATAATTTATGTATGGCCGATTTGGAGTTCATTTTAGTGTAACTAATAATTATTTGTGGACATTAATTAGATATAGGCTTTGTATGTAGGGGTCAGGAGCTCATTAGGTTATTAGTTTCGTATAATTTATTTTTCTATATATATGGTACAAGTGAATTAATAGAGTAAAATTGAACGGTTTCTCTCTTTTGTGTCTCACTTGGGTTTTCTTTCTCTCGTATTCACTTGCTTTCTCTCTTTTCACTATATATGAGATAATAAATATTACAACACGTTATCAGCACGAGTACTCTACCACCAAGCAAACGGCGGCGGCATCAAGATGAACGGGCAATCAAGGTAACAAACGAAAATTGATGTATGCGATGATTGAGAATTAATGTATGCCCTATAAAAAAATAGTGTCTTTTCTGTCAATATAACATTCAAGATCTATTCAATATCAATAATAATTTATTAGTTTTATCATTTTTAATTATATTCCAATATATACAAAAGTGTGAATTGATGATTTTCGTGTGAGTTTGATTGTTGTGGTTGTGTTGTCAAGTATTTGCGAGTCAATCCGAAAATTTGTTATAAATCGACAATAAATCATTTCATCCTGATTTTCGGATATGTGATGCGAATCTGGGTGTAGATGACCCAGTAAAATTTTAAAATTCAAATGATAAGTAAGTTATTTGTTCTGAATTTTTAACTCCGATGTATTCATTGTTGTGGTTGTGTTGTCAGGTATTTGCGAGTCAGTTTCGAAAATTTGTTATAAATCAACAATAAATCATTTCATCCTGATTTACGGATATGTGATGCGAATCTGGGTGTAGATGACCCAGTAAAATTTTAAAATTCAAATGATAAGTAAGTTATTTGTTATGAATTTTTAACTTCAATGTGTTCATTGTTGAAAAATTCTGTGATCTGCACTGTATTAATATTTGAAGATTTGTCGTGGACGTTTTGAATGTTATTTTATTATAAATCATCATATGCAATTTGTTTTATATTTTCAAGTAAATATATGCAATGTATAAATTTTTTTGTCAACTTCAACATATTCTATTTTAGAAAATAAGGACAAATAAGAAATTATTATCACTTTGATATTATTATAGTTTGGTTTTATTACTTAAATCTATAGTATATGCCGACTTTGAGGATGTAATGAAACCAAGATCACAAAACCTCATTTGTTTTAATAGTTGATATAGGATAAAAGGGTTTTTGTCCTCCTCTTATTATGCATTTTGGAAATTATGATTAAAGCCCGCATGATAGGATGTGGTTGGGGACTATAACTAATTACAATTTACATCACTTGTTTTTGTAGGATATTCTTTCCTTCTTGCCTTGTGGTGACGCATCTTATCTAAGCTTTATTGTGGGAAACAAATGTAGAGTTTCATTCAAAATTTCATTCAACTCAAAATCTAACTCAACTTTAACTTAACTTCAATATCCTCAGTAATATCAATATAATTAAATAATACCATCCAATCATTCTTACACATTACATCTACTTTAATTCACTATTCATTCATTCACATAATTTTAACTAACTATCAGTTCATATCATCTCTCTCATACTTTTACATAACATCAACCTTAATTATTTTATTTTAAATATTATTTTAATATAAATCTAAATTCCACTAACAACTAACCATACCATCTTTTTTTAAATTAATTTTAGTTAAGTAAAAAAATCTACTTTGAGTGAAACATGTTCGTAATTTTTGCCCCTCAACTTTGATGTCAGATATACAAATTACTCATATCCCAGTTAAACTATACACAACAGTGCAATACCTTCTTGTCGGATGAACAACTCCTAGTGGAATATTAAGGAGGTGATTGGCAGTCTATAAAAACTAGTTTAATAGATCATAATTTGATTAACTCACTTAACTCAAAGTATAACTTAAATTTAACTCAACTCCATACTCAGTAGTATCAATATAATTAAATTTAAATAATATAAATCATATTAGTATGTAACCCGTGCAATGCATGAGTTGTATTTATTTTGGAAAAATTTATAAATTGAAAGTTATTACTCAATAAGTTATAATACGCTAGGACATTAGTAAAGTAATCATAAATTATTGTTGATAATAAGTCATACATTATTAAAAGCCTTCTTGTACACAACATTATGAATTTGGTTAATGAGCAACTCATTTTTCCCACAAACTAATATTATCAACCTCTTCTTATTAGTTACACGTGAAATAGCAACATATAACTGGATGTGGCTAAAAAATGGTTTCTTCGAGAAAAACTCAACATGCAATAAAGACTGACTCTGATAATATATGCATTTATGTATTTTTCGTGTAAGCTGTTTTTATCGTAGTAGTTTGATTGGATAGTTATAAACCACGCATTCGTGTCAAAGAAAAAAATATGGTATAATATTAAAGTGATATCTTGATGTGGTAATATCACAGATTTTGTTTATTCGGATGATACCAAAAAGAAAATGATTTCCACCACGAAATCGTGATAGCATAAAAAAAAAGGTTCGTTAAAAATCTCCGATTTAGTTAGTATGATTTGTAGTTGAAGAGAAACGAATATTATGGTAGTATTAAAAAAATTGTTACCATGATTAGTGGATTGTGTGTTTATCTCTTATATTCTCTTAGTCTCATTTAATCACTAATTTGATTCCAATATTTGGAATAAATTTGAAATGTAACATTTAAAATAATTTTGTTACGTTTAAATGATCATTTTAGATTGTATCTTTTGCATAACAATATG